AGACCTGTCTTTCAGCAGAGATCTGGACCTGTAGGGCTTGTCCACACCACCCCTGCAGTGTGTTCTGGCCAGGCCAGACCTGAGTACATCGTACCTACTGAAACGCTCTGACCCTAGTTGTTGATTGCTGCGTCTGCTGTCAAGTATCCATCTCCGGCAGGCTGGCAAGCTGCTACCAGGGACTAGCAGCCTCACTGTGTACCCATGCATGGGCAAACCCATCCTAGTCAGACCACACCACAGCCACAGTGTGGACAAGCACATAGAAATGAAGGGGCCACATGTGGGTGCTACAAGGGAACAGAGGCTGCCATCTCCTCTCATGGCTGATCCAGCACCTATAAGAGACTTCAGACCCTTAAGATTGTGACCGCCAGTATTCGAACTGGATGTCACCATGACAAGGCACCAGTCCTGACCTGGGTAATTCTGTCTCGTAGTACGTTTCCATCAAATATCCAGAGGTTTGTCCCAGAGGCAGCAACGTGATGTGAGACTATGTTTAACAGGACTCCACTGAAGAAGCATATTGTGTTGAGTAGTTAAAGGTAAAAGAAACACTGGCAGGAACAAAGGCTTGGTGGAGCAGTGGATTCAAAAAGTGCCAGTAGCACGTATGACCACATGTGGCTTGTCTCAAGGTCACTGCTGAAGGAGAAGAAAGCATTGCGATTCTGGAGGAGCCAGGCACGCAGATGATACTAGACTTCTAAGACTGCTAGAGGCAGAGAAGATGGGAACCTAATTAGTTTCTTGAATCACTGTCTATAAATACTTGCACATCTTCAGAAAGATGATTGATTTTTCTTCTTTTTTTTTTTTACACTGAGTCTACTAAAAGCCTTTCGAAAAGTAAATAAATGATGGGATTGGACAAGCCACAACCCCTGAATGGCTGGGACCGGAGGGCAAAGAATATCCTGCCAGCCCTGAAGGAGAGACAAGAGACAGTTCTGGGGACTCGGAGACTTTTTCTCACCCAGACTTCATCCTTCCTAGCCAGGACAAGTGCTTGGCCAGGAAGGATGCTCACAAGAGCATTTTTGAACTAGAAGGAAAACTGAGCAGCAGATTGTTCTTTTTCTCTAGCTGAGTTCAGAAGGAAGCTCGCTAGCAGTCATGAGAGTGGTCATCTGGCTGGATGCTTTGATTCAAGGACTCCCACTTGCCAAAAACGGAGCTTTACTCTCCGCTTAACGTACGTCACTTTGGTGCTGGACAGCAAAGTCCTTCCAGCCTCCTTGCCACACTGGGGAGGAACAGTCGTTCTTTTTGGATCCCATCCCCACTGCCAGTGTTGATAGGCGGTACTTACCCTCAGAAACATTGACATGCTTTGTCCACAACTGCTCTC